CCTTCCGGAATAATTTCATTTATTTCAATACCTAAATCTTGAAACAGGCGCCTAATTTCTCGGCAATCATGTTGATGGTGAAATCCTAGTGTAAAAATACCAATAATATTCGCTATATATATATATACAGCCCCTCGTTTGTTGTCCTCTTCTCCCTCTCTGCTAAACCGGGCAGTTCTATTTGACGATATATATATATATATAGGGACACACCGGTTGATGGTGCCCGAGCAAGGGACGGGACACCCGACATGGATGTCGGGACGGTAAACGACAGGCTATATATATATATCTATATATATATATATATATATATAAACTCTGACGAAACAGTTTGTCACAGCCCCTCGTTTGTTGTCCTCTTCTCTCTCTCTGCCTACGGTTTACCGGGCAGTTCTGTTTGTGACGATATATACATATATAGTTCTAACACGTCGAGGGGTCTGTATCCGCCCTCTCGTATGCAGCACTGTTCCCCCCACCTCCGCGCCTCGCGAGAACCCCCACGAGCATCTCAAGGACAGTGTTCCCGCCACGCATGGCATCTGCCACGTCACCGATCTGCGCCGCAATCGCCGAGCCTGCCTTCGGCGTTGCCTTCGCCAGAGTGGCAGCGACCTTATCCAAACCCTCGCCGTCCGACCGTGTCGCGTCCTCCATCGCCCTACCCAATGCTGTCTCACCGCTGATCGTGTCGTCCATCCTGGTTTTGCCAGTGTTCGTCCTCCGGGTCTTCGCTGCTTGGTCCGAATCCTCTGTTGCTTTGGTGTCAGAAGCACTCCTCCCCGACGACAGTTGTGCTGGACCGTCGGTCGTTGAATTCCCCCCCGCATTACCTGGCCGGTTCTCGGACGCCAGCGTCTTGTCACACTCGATGGATGGCCGATTGAGTTTCCACTCCATCGCTTCCCACAGAGCTTTCTCAAAGCCTAGTGGCACCTGCTCCGCCTTCCGCTCCTCAACGGTCATGTCCCAGTACGAAGGTTTCCCCGAAGCATTCTTACACTTGTCGAGAATCAACTTCGCTGCCGCCAGCATGCCCTGCCACTTCTTACGGCAATCCTCCGCCGACCTGTGCGGAAACCCCTGCTTTGCCATCCGATCGTGCACCAACTCATATCGGTCCTTCCTCCTCTTGAACCGATGCTGCCCGTCGGCGTCGGCCATAAGGGCGTCATCCTCGACCATCAATCTGGACAGCGCGATCCTCTCATCCAAGCTCCAGGGGATGTTTTGCTTCTTGTTTTTCACAGCACCATCTTTGCCCCCCCGCTTGTTTGCACGCTTGCTCCTTTGGGGCCCAACCACATTCTCGCCCCCATCTCTCTGGCCAGCACTAGCACTGTCCCTATCCTCCTACGCGTTGTCAGAGTTTTGCCCATCAATGTCACCGCCATCACCTTCAACTTCATCGTCGCCAACCAACTCATCTTCCTCGCCACCAAAGGAACGACCTTGCAAGCCGGCAGGCGATGGAGTTGCACTGTGGACAGGCCAACCCTCATCCATATCCTCTCCTTGCACATCTGCCATCGGAGGTGAGGGCTCGGCAGCAGACCGCGTCACCGACATGGGCGAGGGAGCGGACAACCCGCCATGCATGGGCTGCGACGGTTGTCAGCACTGTGGGGACCACTTTCACTCGTCCCTCATCACTCCGCCCCTTTCCATAGTGTGCTGGGTGGGGTACATGTGCGAAGCAATGCCATATCCACCGCCCCCCGGGAACATGTGTGGAGAAGGCATGCCATACCCGCCTCCAACCTGTGTGCAAAACGACGTCTGGCCCGTGTGCACGGGGCCCGCGTGCAGACTTCTGCAGTGGGTCGAACAACGAATCGCCGACGTGCACCTTCCGCATGATGGACAGATGGAGAGGGCACCTAAGCAGGAGGCACTTGAATCGGCCCCGCACGCACAACCTCCTGCATCTGCCCACTGAAGGACTGCATACTCGCCGGTGAAGGCGAGGAGTAGTGGACAGATCCTTGTTGTCGCATGTCCTGGGTCTGGAATCCCCCACCATTGCCTGCACAGGGATCTGTCGTCGACCGGTACGACTCCATTTGGCTGCGGAAGGTATGTATACGGAGGCAACACCTGCTAACACGCAATGCGCCCTCCAACAACAACACTTCGCTGCTTATCTCCACGGACGACAACACAAGTACACGATCGCGCACCAGAAAACAACGGACAACACGAAAGTTGTGGAAAGGAGGATAGCGACGGCAAGCAGGCCTGCCATAACAGCCAAAGATGGGTTTTTTCGTCGCCCTCCTCCGCCGTAGTGGTTGTTTATGATAACATCCACACAACAACAACGATGGCAGCGGTCACATCCACACGGCCGACTATAGCGTTCGACAACCGACACGTGGCGAGTGTGTGGATGAGGACTTATAACCACATCGTCATGTGCAGCCCATCCCTGCCCACATGTGTCGGGGTTGCTCTCCGGCGAGGACAAATGACCGCCCTGCCGAGGCAGACGAAGAAGCGACGATGGCAAGGGAGGCACACAAAGGAGCACGACATGTGCAATGGCGACCACATGGGAGGTCAGCATTGGACGACACATGTGCACGCGGGCAGGTAATGAGAGCGCCGGGGCCGGACTGTGCGTTCTACAGACATTGCTCGGCACAACGCCAACAGCTTCGAAATGCAAGCCCCGGCCGGACAACGCCTGCCGACGCCACCCGAGATGGCTTCCCCGTAGGCAGGCCAAGGAACCTGTACGCGCGAAGGAGATGAACGATGGCATAACGCCGTTGAGAAACGATGGAGGGTTTAATGGACGTGTCGACGACGGCGACGTAAGGGTGTCACTGCCGATGCTTCTGCCACTGAACTCGCACGACATGAATCGACTGCATGGCTGGCCTACGTCCTGAGCCCGCCAAAAAAATCGAATTTGAAATGCTGCGTCATGCCGTTCGCAAACCGAGGGTAGCATGGAGGGCCCATACCCCCCCCGGGCCCCGGTGGGAACCGTGCGACGCGAGAAAAGGAAGAGCATGTCCGCACCAGCGTACTGGTCCAGAAAACGGTCCACGGCGACGGTCCGTGGTTAGCGCCGTCTAGCCGTTTTCTGGAAACTGTTTCACATGCCCCCCCCCCTACTCGTCTGGAGGCGTCCTTGGAAACTGTTTGGAAACTCGTCGGCATTGCATTTCCAGACCGCGAGCCGAGTAGAAACGCCCCGTCAGCTTTTCCACAACCTCTTTCCAACCGAAGTGGGGTCTGGAATTCCTTTCCGGGCCGACTTTCCACGACGGTTTCCAACACCTGTGGGGTCTGAAAAACACTTCCTCGCCAAAACGTTTCCACGCCGCCGGCCAGTGGGGTCCAAGCCTCAGGCTGATTCACCTTCTGGCCTACTGGTAGCTCAGTTGGTACAAACAGGCCGAAACTGAACTGTTGAAATACAGACCTGAGTTCGAACTCCACTGGAAGAAGCTGATGAGTAAAATACCAGAATGCTTCAGGCTGAGTCACCCGGGGGCAAGGTCCCACTTGCGCAAATTAGGAGATTTCGGCCGTTGATCTTTGCTATCTACAGTCAGTATCTCTTAATTCGTGCAAAAAGTGGGACCTTGCCCCCGCACGGACTGGGTGGTTGCTGTCACATTCTCTCAATCTCTCCCCTCCCAGTTGGTACACCGCTAAACTGAACTTTTTGTTTTTTTCGGACCGTTTCTCGCGCAGGGGGGTAGGTCGCACTTGCAGGAATTAAGAGATATTCAACGACAAAAAGGAAAAAAAGAAAAAGCAAAGGATAAACGGAGCAAATCTCTCAGGGGTGGACCCCACTGCTCGGCGGCCTGGAGAGAAATTTCCAGGCCGGTGTATTCCGGACTCCGCTCATCTGGAAACCCGCATGGAAACCCACACTGGAAAGGTTTTTCAGACCCCATCGATTGTGGAAGGACGTAATGGGAAAGGTGTCAGAAGCGTTTCTACATGGTTGGCGGCCTGGAACGGACGACGTCGTCCTTCCACGACCTTTCCAGAGACAGCTTCCAATCGAGTAGTGGGGGGGTGGGCATGTTCTCCCATGGAAAGAAGAGGCCGGGCGGGTGTGGTCCAGCTGACGTCACGGCGGACCGTTTCATGGGCGGGCAAGCCCCCTCCGACATGCATTGCCCTGTCGCACGGTTCCGATGTGGGCCGTTGTGTGGCTGGTCTGCGCGGGCTCTGATTTCCGAAACGGCAATGGATTTCAAATTTGAAATCGGGCGGGCCGGGCACGATGGCCAGCCATGCAACAGTGATCCAGCCATGCACGGACGGCATATGAACGCACGTGCGAATGGGATCTTGCCTCAGGGGCCATGCTTTGCCTCTTTGTTTTTGGTGTGTGTGTGTGTGTGAAGTTTTAAGGCCTGGGGTCCCTACTACCTAGCGGGAGTGATATGAGCAGCCCCCCCTAGTAAGCCCCGCTGGTCGCTCAATCTATTGGTGGGCAGCTTCACCTGCTGGAAACCGGGTCCAGCGTTCAGATAATGAGATCAAGTGGGGTCTAGCTTCCACCAGCATTGATTGCCCAGGATGCCCCCTACAGTAGTGTCACTGTGGAACAGCATGGGTTGCTTCTTTTACATACACCTACTGCCAATCTTCTCTGTCGCCAAGACCTTGCCACGTGGGGAGGTTTAGTTCTGGTTTCTGATTTATTATTATTATTATCATTATTTTTGTTTCTGAGTTTTTTCAAACGTGGTCACACTGTGGCCGTCAGATTTTCAGATCGGATGGTAGGGACCCGTGGATAGTCGAAACGAGCGCTAAACCTCCTTTTTTTTTCTTAAGCTATATTCCTCTCTCAATTTCCACTACTCCTAACTGTAGGCATACAGGGAACCCCGTAGCAGCCAGAACCGTGTTCGTGTGCGGCACAGCCCCTGAAGGACTGACCAATCCGACTTAGGGGGGAGGGGGGGGGAACTAATCTGACTTTTTCTTTAAAAAAAATACAATGCAATTATATTCTAAACGAGTTGGAGGCAGCTGGAAGCATAGCTACCTCTCCCATCCAGTGGCCTAGCTCAGTTGGTAAGAAATGCAACTGGCATTCAGGAGGTCTTGCATTCAATTCCTATTGGCCTAATGTACCTTCCTGGGTAAGTTTGGTGCTTGCCACCTAGAGATACGCCGGTGGTCCTCCCGAGCGGCATTGAGCAGAGACTGCTGATGTTCGTTAGGGGAGGGGACCAGAAGTGATGTAGCGGTCCGCCCGGCAGTGAGGCCGGACCAGTTTCAGGCCGTCGTGTGACGTACCAGCTTCCGGACCTGCACCATCTTCCGGACCCCTCCCCTCCCCTTGTTTCTTTTGGTCGGCCCCAGAAAACTGCTCTCTGTTTTTCGGTTAAAAGTGCCCCGCTGAGACCTGTATTTTTGTCAGCACTAGTGATTCTTGAAATTCTGTTTTTGTAATTTGGAAATGCATAGGAATTACGCGCGCCTTCTTAGCGAGCGCGCTCGGAATTTGGCTCGACGGTTAGGAATTCCAGAATTAACGGAACTCGACGTGTCCTTTCACGCATGAATGTTCTCGGCCACGACGTGGAAAACTTTGGGAATTTTATAGGAATATGGATAGACGTAGGACTTTCTTTCATTTCCCGCGCCTACTTTGCGTGCGGATATGGTGATTTCAATTTTTGAATTAGCATAGGACTTGGAAAAACTGCAACTGTTTCGGTGCCCATTTTTCATTGTGTTCGGCGCCATGCATACGAGCTCCCTCCTCCTTCCTTCTCGCGCTCCTCTCGACGCCCTCCTTCGCGCGCCCATGCTCTCTCTCTCTCTCCCCCTGTAACTGTTTTTCTCTCTCCTTCCCCGCGCGCGCCCTTTTTCTCTTTCTTGATCATCTGAATCTTGGACCCGTTTCGCGCTATCCTTTGCACCCTTCTTCTTCCCGCTCTTTATCCTGCGCTCGAAAACCCGGTCGATCCTCTCTTTACCCCATCTAGCCAAGGAGAAGCGTCGTGTAAGAGGAGATCCCTACTACGCTATGATTATGATTGGCTGAGATCGGACTGTGAGGGATCAACATGGCTTTCGATGGGCGATTACCCTCAAGCCCTCCCTCGCCCTCCTCTACCCCATTCTTCATCTTTCCTCGCATCTATCTCCCTTCTCGCAACTATAAATTCCGCAAACGCGTCCGCAAATCTCTCTCAACTCGTCAGCCAGCTTCCGGGGAGCAGTGGCTAGATGGTGTGTGTGTAGTGCGAATCGAAAAGTCCCGACGGGCTGACTGTAGACTGGCTGGTTGTGCGCCTGATCGCCACGACGGACTGTGGGATTGGGGCAAGCCCGTGCAGAAACTAAGTCGGCGGGGTGACGAT